TATTTATGACAAACCCACAGCCAATATCATACTGAATGGGCAAAAACTGGAAAAATTCCCTTTGAAAACTGGCACAAGACTGGGATGCCCTCTCTCACCACTCCTATTCAACATAATGTTGGAAGTTCTGGCTAGGGCAATTAGGCAAGAGAAAGAAATCAAGGGTATTCAGTTAGGAAAGAAGAAGTCAAATTGTCCCTGTTTGCAGATGACATGATTGTATATTTAGAAAACCCCATTGTCTCAGCCCAAAATCTCCTTAAGCTGATAAGCAACTTCAGCAAAGTCTCAGGATACAAAATTAATGTGCAAAAATCACAAGCATTCTTATACACCAGTAACAGACAAACAGAGAGCCAAATCAGGAATGAACTTCCATTCACAATTGCTTCAAAGAGAATAAAATACCTAGGAATCCAACTTACAAGGGATGTAAAGGACCTCTTCAAGGAGAACTACAAACCACTGCTCAGTGAAATAAAAGAGGACACAAACAATGGAAGAACATACCATGCTCATGGATAGAAGAATCAATATCGTGAAAATGGCCATACTGCCCAAGGTAATTTATAGATTCAATGCCATCCCCATCAAGCTACCAATGAGTTTCTTCACAGAATTGGAAAAAACTGCTTTAAAGTTCATATGGAACCAAAAAAGAGCCCGCATCTCCAAGACAATCCTAAGTCAAAAGAACAAAGCTGGAGGCATCACGCTACCTGACTTCAAACTATACTACAAGGCTACAGTAACCAAAACAGCATGGTACTGGTAGCAAAACAGAGATATAGACCAATGGAACAGAACAGAGTCCTCAGAAATAATACCACACATCTACAGCCATCTGATCTTTGACAAACCTGAGAGAAACAAGAAATGGGGAAAGGATTCCCTATTTAATAAATGGTGCTGGGAAAATTGGCTAGCCATAAGTAGAAAGCTGAAACTGGATCCTTTCCTTACTCCTTATACGAAAATTAATTCAAGATGGATTAGAGACTTAAATGTTAGACCTAATACCATAAAAATCCTAGAGGAAAACCTAGGTAGTACCATTCAGGACATAGGCATGGGCAACGACTTCATGTCTAAAACACCAAAAGCAAGGCAGCAAAAGCCAAAATTGACAAATGGGATCTCATTAAACTAAAGAGCTTCTGCACAGCAAAAGAAACTACCATCAGAGTGAACAGGCAACCTACAGAATGGGAGAAAATTTTTGCAATCTACTCATCTGACAAAGGGCTAATATCCAGAACCTACAAAGAACTCAAACAAATTTACAAGAAAAAAACAAACAACCCCATCAAAAAGTGGGCAAAGGATATGAACAGACATTTCTCAAAAGAAGACATTCATACAGCCACAGAACATGAAAAAATGCTCATCATCACTGGCCATCAGAGAAATGCAAATCAAAACCACAATGAGATACCATCTCACACCAGTTAGAATGGCGATCATTAAAAAGTCAGGAAACAACAGGTGCTGGAGAGGATGTGGAGAAATAGGAACACTTTTACACTGTTGGTGGGATTGTAAACTAGTTCAACCATTATGGAAAACAGTATGGCGATTCCTCAAGGATCTAGAACTAGATGTACCATATGACCCAGCCATCCCATTACTGGGTATATACCCAAAGGATTATAAATTATGCTGCTATAAAGACACATGCACACGTATGTTTATTGCAGCACTATTCACAATAGCAAAGACTTGGAATCAACCCAAATGTCCATCAGTGACAGATTGGATTAAGAAAATGTGGCACATATACACCATGGAATACTATGCAGCCATCAAAAAGGATGAGTTTGTGTCCTTTGTAGGGACATGGATGCAGCTGGAAACCATCATTCTTAGCATACTATCACAAGAACAGAAAACCAAACACCGCATGTTCTCACTCATAGGTGGGAACTGAACAATGAGATCACTTGGACTCAGGAAGGGGAACATCACACACCGGGGCCTATCATGGGGAGGGGGGCGGGGGGAGGGATTGCACTGGGAGTTATACCTGATGTAAATGACGAGTTGATGGGTGCAGCACACCAACATGGCACAAGTATACATATGTAACAAACCTGCACGTTATGCACACGTACCCTACAACTTAAAGTATAATAAAAAAAAAAAAAAAAAAAAGAAATGCTGTACCATGCTTTGTTGAGCAAATTGAGTTAAAATTCTGCTTAGATGACACATTCTGAGAACATTTTCTTATCACACATTGATTAACCATTTCTTCTCTGCATGATTTCTGCCCTTCGTAGATACCTCATTGTAAATATGTTTACAATATGCAAGTATGCACTTTCTCCTATGTGAGTGTTATCTCTTGGAGGGCAGGGGCCAGTGGTTTAAACATCTCAGTAACTCCAGCCCCTTGTCTAGAGCCTGGCTGCCTGACACATCCCAGGCAATCAATGAATCTTTAATTCATTGAGCTTATGGGTCATTACTGGGACTTGTTTTCTGATCAGTAACTTCCATCTACATGCATACACACACACACACACACACACATAATGTATGATGGGGATAGTGGATGAGAACTTTGACTAAAACTGCCTGGCTTTGTCACTTGTGAACTGTGTAAATTTGGTTGTCATTCGTCTTTGTTTCTGTATTTATCAGAACAACAATAGTATCTGCATCTGGAGTTTTAGGGGTAAATAAGTCAATACATGTGAAATTTGTAGAACAAAGCCTGGCTTATAGTAAGTGCTCAATAAATGTTAGCAACTATTGTATGTTACAGCTGTATTTTAACAGCTCTGGCTTTACAGTCAGATACCTTGAGTTGGAGTCCTGGTTCCATCTCTCTCTGGCTTTGTGCCCTTGGCTGGGTTGACAACTTTAGTCTATTGAGTCTATTTTCTTATTTGCAAAATGGAAATACTAATGCCATCATGGGGTCTGGGGGAGGAGATAATGAGATGAGGCATGGAAAGCAATAGTATATTACCCATCAGTGTTGTTGCTATTATTATTTTATGGTGCTTTAAACTTATCAAAACAGTTATAAGTAAATGGATTTCTTGTTCTCCTAATAACAATTCTCTGAGCTAGGATAGATGTCTTTCTGGCCATTTTGCAGGTGATGATGCTGCCATAGGGACTGTGAGTGGGTAGCTTAACTTCCTTGGTTACCAGGAGCAGGACCCACGTTTCCTGTCTCCCAGTCCCTTCTTTTTTCCACTGACCAGGTTGGTTGCTCCCTTGGAAACCAGTCCCTGAGAACTGACTTAGAAATACAGGGGAAGAGGTGGATGAAGGCATGTTGGATGCACAGTGGATCAGGTTGCAGTGTGAATGTTTCTCAGTGGCATGTCTAGATTTCCCCTATCCAAAGACTAACCAGGCCCGACTCCGTTTCACTTCCAAGATCAGACGAGATCGGGTGCGTTCAGGGTGGTATGTCCAACGACTGTCAGGGGATTTGTTCTGGAAGGGGGGTGGCATTATTGAAAACACAGCAGCTTCATCCACACATTCATCACGAAAGAGGGGAAATTAGTAAGGGTTCCACCATTCAGGCTGTGGACTGTAGTGTCATCCCTAAATCCTCATTATGAGGCCTACCAGGGCTTTCTTGATCCCTGCAGGGCAGCCAGCAAAGGGACTGAAAAAGAAATGAGGTCCGGGGTGGGGAGGGGAGGGAAGATTTAGGCAGTTGCTCTGTAGGCTTGAAGGAAGGGAAATTATGGCTTTTTAAGTCCTTAGAAATTGGGCATTTGAGGGTATACCTTTTATTATAATGGACCCTAGAATGTTCAAAGGAAGCTTAGTGGAGATAGCTGACTTATTTCATTGGGCCACTGAGCTAGCAGAATTTTAGCTTCATCTTTGTTCCATCTTACAATTGTTCCATCTTATATATGCTGGTTGCCTAATAGATGTTGATTTGGTTGAATTAATTACAAGACCAATGAGAAGTTTAAAGGTGCTTTTTTTTTTTTTTCAATGGAAGAATAAAGGCAGGAGCCAATCTTTAAGGAGTTAAGAAGCAACTTGATTCCCACTGCCCATCTGCCTATGTATATCCCACTACTTGATGCTGGCTAATGTCTTCCTTTTCTGTTTTTTCTAACTAATCTTCCTCCTCCTGACAGAAGAGCATGAATGTCTACCAAAGTTTAGCTTTTTGCATTACTTGTTTTTAATGTCACGAACTGAATGTTGCACGAGGATGGTTTTGGTAAAAGCCAAGGATGGCGTGGCTTCCATTTTCCTTAATTCAATGGACACCCTCCAGTTGTAATCTAATGGCTCTTACCAAGCAGCAGGCCTTGCAGGGTAAAGTAGTACAGGGCCCTTAGAATCGAACCAACTGTTGCAAGGTAGCAAATCAGGCTTCAAGTAGTTTTCAGTGTCAGCTGGAAAACAGACTGACTTCTATGTGCCACTAAGAAGTATTGCCAGTACCGGGGCTGAAAGATCACACATATAAAATACCTAGTTTAGTACCTGGTAAAGAACAGGTAATTTGTGAAACATCGTGGTGGCTATTGCCCCCTGAGGCCTAATCTAGGGCTTTCCCCTCCTGTTCCTGTCCAGGAGTCTTGGGTGTTTGCTCTAATGCATCCTTTGCAGGGGATGGAAGAGAGGATGGCTGCCCTCTGCTCTTTTTTCCCTGGAAACTCATCCTACTCTGGGTCTCAGTTTGTACATCTATGTGCTAAAGGTGTTGGACTGGTGTAGGGGCTTTTATTTGGAATTCACAGATAAACTGCCAAGGGGCCTATGAACTCCTTAAAGCATGACAAAAAATTATTCCTGTGTGTGTTCTGGGCGGCCCTGGTGACTCTATCATCTTTGATGCACCTGAAGGCGTAAATATTCCGCCATATCGGTTACTCGGGGGCCCAAAATTTGATACACATGCTCCTGGTGGTTCACAAAATGATTTCAGGTGGTATGTGGGTGCATGTTTGTTATATTGATAATTATGTGATTCATGTTAGGGAAAAAAACCTAGCATATCACAGTTGAAATTTCATGCATATTATTTCTTTGGAAGAGGCTAAGTCTTGCTTTTAAGAAAATGTGACTTAAAAAAAGTTACATGAATAATAGTACAAATGTGGGTTGATTCTTAAGTTTGAGATACAATGATTGGTCCCCACTCCTGACCCGGTACAGACAGAGGAGCTGAGTCTGGAGAAGTGGAGAAAAGGCCATAAAGAAAGTTGGTGGTAAAAGGCCAATAACCCAGTGGCCTTCTGCAGTATCATCATTCTCTATGACTGGCAGAAGTTTCTGACTCTCTCATGTCTCTTCCAAGAACAATGTCCCAGTCAGGCCAGAAACCTTAGGCACTTTACTTGAGATGCCTAAGGAGAGGCTTTCCTTGCAGGAAAAACGAGTAATACTGAGAAAGTCTCGTCTTTTTTCCCATGCTCCCTCAATTCTGAGATGTACTTTTTCACATTTTAATGTTCCTGAAATTGGGCTGCATCTTACAAAACTGTTTTTACCTAAGGTGACAGTTATTTCCTTGCCAAAAAGCTATTAGTAAATGGATAGTAGCTTAGAATTGAGACAATATGATTCTTTCACTTTTTTTTTCTCCTCCAAAGCAAATTACACTTGAAAGTCAGGACTTCTAATACATCTGTAAACTGAAAGAAAATTTCCCTTTCAATGAAAAACTCTCATCTCAAACCATTTACCCTGCACTGAATGGAAGTGAGGAGAAATGAGTCATCAATGCAGATGTAGCGATATTAACCCAGACCCAGCTTTCTGGACTCCACCCATCTACTCTCCTCTCTAAGTTTATAAATCCTTTGCATATATTTAGTGCCTTTCCCAGGGGTATGCCACATAGAACCTTCTGGAAATGGCTTTCTAGAAGTTATAAATCTGGATCCTCAACAGGGGTAAAAGATGAACCATCTTCCACAGCTTCAAGTGGACTTCATTCACTTCATGTCACAGCTGCTTGATTTCTCCACAGTTCATTTCTGTAGAAGACAGCCTTCTGGTCTGTTTTTCCAGATGGCGAGCTTGGGGTGAGTTAGAAGTGCCTGACTGGACTTTACAAATCAGCATTTTTATTGGCTATTTTTGTTCTAGGTACAATGGAGGTTGATGGATTGTTACTTTTGGTTACCAAAACCAGGAGGAGGGGAGGGAGCTGCTTAGGAGAAACACCCAAAAAGAACAGACCAGCCTTTCTCAGGGACTCAGGGGTGGTGGCACTGCTTCCAACTGCTTCATTTAGAATACCAGATAATAAGCAACCAGGACTCGGCCTTTAGAAGTCAATGGAATAAATAAGCTGGAAAAGGTTGAAGAGAAAAAAGCCAAGGAACATGTAAGTAGAGGATTATATGGAGCCATTTAAGAGCACAAAAAGCAAGGGTAACAAGGCAGCAGATGGAATTTGGCCTCGCCTGGCCCTGCCAAGCTCACTCTGGGAAGAACTGTGTCGAAAGTGCTCTCTTTCTGTCCCCTGAAGCATTCAAGTTTCCTAGCCAAATTCTCAGGCTGTTTCTATGGAGTTTACAAAAAAAGAGCATAGCAGGGTTGATGTGCCCTTTCCTCGTCATTCTGCATCCTCTTCTCAGCTTCATGCAATAAATCTCTGGCTTAAATGAAATTGTTCAAAGGAAAATGGAAAATAGAAAAAAAATGGTGGAGGAGCAGGAGATACTGACTAGTTCTGGTTTTTCACAAAACAAGAAGAATTTGTCTAAGAGTAAACGGTGTTTATTTTTTGTTGTTTTTTTTTCAATCAAATGGAATTGCTTAATTAAAAAAAACTTATTTCTTTTCTCCTTAAATACTACAGACAACCTCATTTTATCGCAGCAGACACCTAGGAACAAAACACTGGACCCACCAGAGAAAACTGGGCAATAAAAGCATCAGAAGTTCAAGTCAACTATGGAAGAATTACTGTTAGCTGGCAGCTTTCAATTCTAAACAGAAGTGTCCCAAACCTATTGGGTTTGACAAAAGTTTCTTAGAACTGGGGAGCTGGGAATGTTGGACTCCTTTTAATTCTATTCCAATCATTTCCTGCATAGGGAAATTAAAGTCAATGCATCAAATGAAGACCCAAAGAAACATTTAAAAACTTGTTTGACTAGTATTCAGTATGTGAGATTATTAAGTAATAACTTGTCCACCTAGTTAACCTTGTCCTGGAATATATATAGGTTATTTGTAGCCGCCACTGCTATAATATTTTCTGAAGGATGCCAAGCTGTATGCAAGATCTTTTTGCTAAAGTCCAGACTGTCGACACTGATCTCGTCTTTTCTCCGCTTGCCCCCCACACACACTTTTCTGGGTTTGAGGATAGCCCGGGGCTTGCTGTTTTCCCTCGAAGCCTCAAGGGTCACATCACGCTTGGTGTTTCTGTCGAACATCCTAAAGAAGTTGTTGTAGGAGCCCGTCATGATGACACTGCAAGATAGAGGGGAAAGGGAGTGACCGAGTGTTATGGAGAAAGGCAATGACGTATCTTCATTGTGTCGTCTTTCTAGAGCAAATGATACCATGTTATGGGCAGCTTATGACACCATAGGTTTTACTAAAAACAAAAACCAAAAAGTGAGAACAGGCTCTGCAGTGTGATTGTTGGCTTTTTTTTTTTTTTTTGAATCACTGAACGCAGTGAGCTTTTTGGCTGGGTTTGGAAATGAGGGATGGTGAGAACTGTCCCTGTAATTTGCTTTTGCTCGGTAGATTCCTTTTGGTTCTTTGGCTCAGTAAAGGTGTCCAGTGGTTTTAATGATCCCAGTCCTACCTACCTCCCATCAGGAATGTGAGACTAGAATGAGGTTTGTTGAAGTAGACACATTTTTGAAAACAATACGCAGTTGTACGTGTTTAAGGCTTGGCCACTGTCAAGGGGGCTCCTGGACGTCTGACCTCTAAGGCTTTATGGCATCGGTGCGGTTGGGGGAGAGATGCTGGTGGCATCGTGCATGAACCCGGGGCGTATCGTTTCCCTTGCCGAGAACTAGCTCTGAATTCGGCCTTTTTAGAAAACTCATCTACAAAATGGATGTCATCATGGTCTTATCTGGGAAACAAATAAGAAAATTCAAATTTTAAAAGAATCTGGGATGGAGAAATAAAAAGATTTTATATGGTTTTTATTTCCACATTTAATGGACAGATGGGTTCCACATTTTTACAAGAGTTATCCCCTCTTAGGCATAGCTGCAATTGATCAGGAGAGTGGCGAACACCCAATGTCTTCCAGAGGCAAGGTACTCAATATTTAATGGTGACATTGCAGACATGGTGACAAGCTGAGGTGGGGAGAGAAAGATTCCTTGGGCCAGGGCATCTGCAAGTACCCCAAGTGCCATCACACAGCAGTTCCCCTGGAGGGGCTGGCTCCCGCTCACTTCTGGGTGGAGCTCTGACTGGCTCCTTAAGATGGGAGAGCAGGAACTCTTATCCGTTTCTCAAATTATTTGGGATGTATAGAGAGGTGAAGGAAAAAGCTGACAAGATTGGGCCACAGCAAGGAGGATGTGTTTTTGGCCATGTTGTCAGCTGTACCAGGTAAATTAAGCAAAGGTTAGATTTTGTTACTCTGGCCCATCAAACTGATGCTGTGAACTGTGTCTGTGTCCTTGAGTGGACTGTTATTACCTTGTCAGGCAGGGCACTGAGGGCTTTGCCTCCATGATCTCGTTTCAACTTCTGTTATCCCATAAAAGGGTTTTACAGAGAGGTAAGTAATTTGCTCAGTGTCACATTGCTAGTAGGTAGTAAAGTCCACCCTTAAACCCACATATGGTTGACTCTGGGGCATAAATATTCAGCCGGTTGGCCTCACTGCTTCCTGTGCTTTGACGTTCGCTTCCCTCCCATGACCCAACTCATTTTTAAACAAGTAAGAGATATTATTTTCAAAAAAAAAAAAAAAAAAAAAAAAAAAAAAAAGACTATCAACCTTATTTGAAAGAGAAATTAAATTTCCCAGTTGTAATGTTATAGAAAGTGTTGATCTTAGGATTCAAACTCTACACTTGTTACTTTTGCTTCTACTACTTACTACTTTATGAGGTTGGGCAGATTAATTTATCTTGCTAAGCCTCAGTTTTCTGAACTGTAAAATGAGAATGATGAAAACAATCTTGTTAGACTGTGGTTGGGATTAAATAAAATGATGTGTATGAATGTGTTTGGTGTATAGTAGGTGCCTAATAAGTGTGGTTTTTGAATCAAGGCTAAGATAGAGGAAAAATCTGAGCAATAATAACAGATATGTAAATAATAATATATGAATAAATCAATACCTATAAATAAAGAATAAAATGAGAGGGCTGGCTTCTTTTCCCTGTGGGGGATTTTGTTCATATGTCACAGTTGCTTTGCTCTCTGTCCTATACCAACTGGTCAGTGTGACTTGGGTCCTTTGCCATGTGGGGACTCCTTCCAAGCCTGCTAAGGAGGGGATTCATTTTGATCAGTGGCAAAGAAAGCCAAGAAACAGGTTGAGTGTGAGAGAGATGGTTTGTATTCACTGAAATCTTGAATGTCTGAATGTCCTGCCATAATAGAATTTCTATGCTTTCAAACACTATAATTGGTGCCACCTTCATCAAGGAACGAAATCAACCCCTGGTAGCTTGCACTTAGTTCTCATGGAAGTCAAAGAATCATTTGTATCTGTCAAACTAAAAATGAACTATTGGGAGGTATTATGAAGCACTGTTCAAATCAAAGGCCTTAAAATAGTAATAAATCACTTTGAGGGAATGTGATAAATGAGGTCGACTAGAATTCAGTTAATGAACCACCAGGACCATTGGCCAGGTCTCCACTAGCAGCTTCAAGGGATAATTTTTGATCTGGAAAGCCCACTTGGCAGTAATCTGAACTGTTCAGGCTGGAATTTGCTGGTGGATAAGTGATCTTCATTTAGGCATGTTGACCTAGTGCTGGAGGTGTCTTGTGTGAAAAAGATAGGACTTTCTTATTACCATTAAAGTGTTATCTGTGCCAGTTCAGAAACAGGATTCAAAGGCCTTACTATATCCTTCTCTTCTTTCCAGGCCTGACATTATGCATTTCAGCCAGGTTTTGGAGCCCAATTTTGACCTCCCTTTGGCTGTACTCTACTTAGGATAAATTGCCCGAGCCTCTTCAAGACAACCTTTGGAAGGTTCTTCAGCTACAGAGCCTTTCTTACCTGTCTGACCCATTCCACACACACTCAAATTTATCAAAAATGCAGTCATTTTCATAGAGGGAACACAGCTTGCTGCGGAGGTAGTCATGAACCTGGAAAGGAAACATATCGAGAAGGTCAGTTCTTATTTTAAACAGTAATTATTTCTGCAAACACCTCCTCTTCTGATGTGAGCTGTTAAATCTTTCATTTGTACATGCTCCTTGAATCAGACGGCCCTGGATCTGAACCTAGGCTTGGCCCTTTCTAGCTGTGGGACATTAGGATGGGTTGATGAGTTTCTCATGTAGCTGATATGGATTAATTAAGCTTGCTTGTATAGACAGTGGCATCCAGTAAGACTAAAGAAGTAGATTCTCATTTTCTAAGCTGATTTGCTCACAGGCATTAGAGGTCACCATTCATCCAGTCTTTTATTCAACAAATATTTACTGAATACCTGCTATGCATTTGAGATGCAGCAGTGAGCCAAATATCCTTGTGGTGCTTTCCACCCAGTGTTACGTGAGAAACTATATAACCAATTAAATAAATAAGACATTTAGATGGTGATAAAATCATAGAACAAAAGTGTATGGAAAAAGAGCCTGGGAGATCTTGTCGGGGGTGTATTATTTTATACAGGGCAAGTAGTTAGGGCTTCACTGGAGGAGGCAGCATTGGAGCAGAAGCCTGCAGGAGATGAATGAGCCACAGTGATGTCTGGGTTTGGGGTGAGGGGAAGGCTCTCCAAGCATAGGAAACAGCAGACACAAAGGCCTAGAGGCAGGAATCCTGGAGGGAGTGTGGTTGGGGAGTGGTGAGTAAGCAGCTGGGGGAGAGGATGATCAGTTTACATAGGCTCTTTATTCTGAGGAAGAAGAGACTTCACAGAAAGGATTGCTGAATCTGCTGTGTTGCAATGGATCCTAAAGGTGCAAAGACAAAGGCAGGGAGACCAGTTATAACCTGAGTGATAGATGTTGGCTTGGACCAGGGCATGAGCAGTGATGGGGACTGGTCAGATTCTCCTTTTGTTTAGAGAAAGAGCAGATAGGACTTGGGTCAACTCTGAGGTGTGGAGAGAAAACAGGAGTCAAAGATGACTACCTGACCTTTCTCCTGAGCAAGTGGAAGGAAGCGGGTACCATGTTCACTTTTGGGTACAATGGTTTAGAGATGTCTACATGTGGAGCTGTCAAGTAGACTCTGAGGTAAAAGGTGCCGTCCTGGAGTATGTGGAGATTCTTTCCTGGTTTTTCTTAACCATGCTGCTGCTTTCACTGGAAATCAACTGAGAGTGAGCAGGAAGAGAGGAATGGTTGGCAAACAATGTCAGATTTCTGGAAGGCACCAGGGGACACTTGACATTGTTGAACATGTATGTCAAATAAGGCTGATCAAGCATAGTTGAATATTTTTCTCCAGCTACACTCAGCAACTCAGATGTAGATGCCAAATAGATGAATAAAGTTCAGAGAGTAGTAGCCTGGGTTCAATGTTTCGAAGGTAATCCTTCCTGAACCCACTAGCACAGAGTGGCAATAATAACGGGCATACCCAAAATGCTGGCTTGTCATTATTAGCCAGGTGCTTTATCTGTCAAAACCTCATTTCATCTCTAAAGCCATCTTATGATGCAGGTCCTTTCATTCTCTTTACTCTAATGGAGCATGAAGCACAGAGATATGACATCATTTGTCCAAGATCACACAGAAAAGAAAGTGACAGAAGGGGAGGGAACTGAGCCCCGGTATCAGGCTCTGGAGTGCACACTCTGAGCTGCACTAGCAACCTGCCTCCAGCTTGCTCTGGTGGGTCCTCAGTCCTTGACAGGAGCTGTGATAACGAACTCAAGTGAGGTTGAGAGAGAAGGAGATAGAACTAGGTGAAAGCAGAGGGAGGCTACCAAGGGTATTGGTGTTTAACTTTAAGTTAAGAGTGATGATTCAATCTCTTTTCTCCTGCAACTGTGGCTCTTTCTCTTCCTTTGACTCCAACAGTTCTGCTGGACGCTGAGCTTCAGGCTCAGTTGTGTGCTTAGTCTTGGGTAAAGGAACGAGGTCAGGCTCATCCTATGTTCCATTAGGTGTTTTGGGTATTTGAAAAGCTCTGAGTTATTTGGACAGAGGAAGTTATTTCTAATTCTGCAAATTAATTTTCCCCCACCTTTACTCTCTCACTCCCAAACAGTTCCAGGCCTTGTCAGGGTAACAGCTTCAGTGCTTTGGTGACAAGGGAATACCCCTCTGGCAGTGCTGTTGGCATTGTTAGGTGCATTTGGGGGCTGCAAGGGTGAGGCTGTGTCCTGCCCTAAGGGAGGCATCTCTGCTATAAACTACTCACTCACCTTCCCTAGGGAGCACAGCAGTAAAGGTTTATAAACCTGGCAGTGGTAAGATTTTTAAGGTCTAGTTCCATCTGCCCACTTTGTGATGAACCTTTCCTCATCTGTCACCATTCACTTTTGGCATTTTGTCTTATTACTCACCTGCGGTGTTTCTGTAAGTGTCAAAATGTGTGCTTTGGAAGTCACGCCCATTAGCAGGAATGACATTGCTGAGCACTCTGTAAATAATTCTTGAAAGATAGAAGTTGGGATAGACTCAAGGGAAAATCTAGTCTGAACCATTATTTCTCCTCCACCACACCTAAGGTCTGGGTAGCTCCTACCTGCCTCCAATTGACAACATTGAAAGAAAAAGAATGTCTACTGTGAAGTATGCTGTATGTATGTTTTGTTGCATAGAAAGAAGTCTTCTTAGGCAAACCAGAGGGACCTTTTTCTACCAGAGGAAAGAATAAGGTAAGATGTACACATGAGCAACCTCTAGAGCATGGAGCAAGAGAGACTTTAAAACTCATCCTGTTTAATGTTCTTTCTTCATGTTCCTAATATGACTTTTCTATGATCCTATTAATTTGTGCATGGGATTTTTGACACTAGACTGAGTGTCCCAATACAGTGTTTCTCATTATTTGTGGGAGTCCAGTGTCATACAGTTAGTGGACTGCTATGAGGCAAACAAAGAGCCAACTCTGTCGGTCCATTCTTGTATTTCAAGTGTTGACAAACTTTTTCTCCAAAGGGCTGGATAGTAAATAGTTTAAGCTCTGTGGGCCGTATGGTCTCTGTGACAGCTACTCAACCCTGCCATTGCACATGGAAGCAGCCGTAGAACATATGTAAGTGACTGTACATGGCTGTGTCTTAATAAAATTTACCTGCAAAGACAAATAGGGGGCTGGTTAGGAACACAAGTTGCAGTCTGCCAGCCCTTGTTCTATGGGAAAACTTGAAAATAGCTAATCATACTTAAGTCTGCAGCCTTTTATTCATGGAAACATGATTGAGATCTGTGAATGCATGTATGAAAACGTATAATAGTAGCATTACCTGTCTCCTTGCTCAGGGCAGGCATTATTGACTGATCACTAAATTCTTTCCCCCTGGACCTCACAACCTATCATGGTGTTCTGGAGGCTCACTGAATCAGAGCTTGTTTACCATCTTTAAATTACTTCATGTAAAAGTTAGATGGCTGTGCTCTAAAACTAGCTTTGTCCTAAATCTCCTCTTCCTAGTTAAGGCTCCCCAGCAGCCACACTCAGGTCCTAGTTCCCACTGCTCTTTCTTTTGCATTAAGGATGCGAATACTATCAGGTTTGTCTTATGCAGCTGGAAGAGGACACTGTGGTGACTCTAGTCCTGGGCTAAAGATGAAGGCTGCAAATGAAAGCTTGGGGGTAAGTGATGTGGAGCCAAGCCCTGAAGTCAAGGTAGGATTCAGGAGACAGGAACACTAAATAATAGGGAATATGATGGACCACAGGGGAAACAAAGCTATCTCCACTACATATATGGCTGTGAATTCTGGCTCCCAAACCTTTCTCTAGCACCTGCTGGAACAGAGTCATCAAAGTCTTCAACCTCCTCTCTGAACCTTTCCTTCTTCTTCCTCTGACTGGAATTTGGATCTCCTCTGAAGACACTCAAGTGGTAGCTAGAGTTTTGCTCTCACTCCACATGCCAATGTTGGGTAGGTAGGCTCCTTGTTGCTCCAGACAACTATTCCTATTTAAAGTCCTCAACTCCTTTGAAGTCATGCCATCAAACTAAGCTTCCTGCTACCTGTCCTTCTTTTAGCCATCAAAAGTTCTGAGTCCCTAATCCTTATTCCTTGAAGCAAGTTTGCATCTCTGTCTCTCTTCCATTACTATTCCTGTCACTATTTTTAGTTATTTGAGCACTCTAGTCTCTCTCTTACTCAGTCTCATCATATTCAATGTGTTTTGTCCTTTGCTTCCTTGGTCATATTATGAACCTTGTCATTGCTATCCCTGTACCTGTCATTGCTATCCCTGCTGCTGCTGTTAACTCCTGTCTTTTTAGTTCACTCCTTCTAGTATCTTGATTCTATCAATCCTTAAAATTCATTATTTCCCCTTTGCCCACCTTCGACTCAGCAGTACATCATTACAATCATTCCTTTAGCATATATATTCAACAAACTTGCCTTTCTTGCTCTCTCTTTCCATTGTACTCATTTGGCACAACTCTATCACTGGTTAAATCTTACTTTCTATCCTTTCTTTACCTGTATCAAGCAGGTGAATGTGGCTGAGAAGAAACATAATCATACAGGTTAATCTCCCTTTAAATCAATTATGTAAATTTCAAGTGGATCCCTGAGCAACCCTACCACCCTACAACATTTCTCTTTCTTAGATGAGTACTTTACCCCTTTTCTTTCTTCCCATTCAGCTAATGACCTTACTACTTATTTTACCAAAGAAAACACCTACATGTTCTCATCACAAAATGCACAAACCTACTTCATCTATATATGAAAACTGCTGTCATTCCTTTGACAGATGAATTATCTATGCACCTTACCGTCTACAGCCAATTCTGCAATGGACTGCATCCCCCACTGGCTTGCCTCAAGGGCTTTGTTCTTTCAGTGGTCTCTCTCTCTAATGGTCTCTCTCTCTAGTGGCTTATTCCTATCAGCAGAAAACATGCTGTAATAACTTCATTCAGCCAGAATCCCTTTTCAGCTACACTTCCATTTCTCTGTTCTCCTTCAGAGTAAACTTACTGAAACAGTTGTCTGTCCTCATTATGTTATCATCTTCAGTTTCTTAAACTCACTCCAATTGGACATTTATTCACACTGCTCTACTACTGTTCCTCTGTCATTCAGGTTACTGGTAATCTCCACTTACTAAATCCAAGTTCGTAGTCTTCTGTACTTGATTCAGCAAAGCATTTGGCAGTCGATGACTTCCTTTTCCTTAAGACATTTTCTCCACTTGGCTTCCTAGTCACTCCTCTCATCTCACTGGCTAGTTTCCCCAAATCTCTCTTGCCAAATCCTCTTCCTATTCTCAACTAGGTCTTATTTTCCGACCTCTTCTTTAATTATACTAATTGCCTAGAAGATCTCATTCAGTCCTATGGCTTTAAATACCCTCTATATACTTGTGAGTGTCAGGTTTATATCTTGAAGCTAAATATATCCAGACTCACATTGAGCTGTCTACTTGCTCTGTCTGTTTGGATGTTAAACTGGTTTAACAGAGCCAAAACCAAACTCTCGATTTTCTCATCTAAATAAATTGGCAACTCTACTTTTCTAATTGTTCAGGACAAAAATTTTGGAGTAATCCTTGGTGCTTCTTTCTTTTCCTTTTACATCCCACATCAAATTCGTCCTCAAACCCTATTGCTTTTACCTTGGAAATATATGAAGAATCTGGCTATCTTCATTGCTAATACACTCATCTAAGCTACTATTTCCCCTTGCCAGAATGTTATAACTATTCTCCTGTCTCTTCCAATGTCCCTCCCACAGTTTCTTCTCCCCAGCGCAACCAGAATATTAATTTAAAAATGTCAATGATGAAAATGATCTGGAATTAGATAGTGGTGGTTTCATTAAATTGTGTGCTTTGAAAGGCCGATTATTATGATATGTACATGATATCTCAAGGAAAAAATGTAAGTCAAACCCTTCTGTATAGAATCCCCCCACTTCTTTTTATCTAACCCCAAATAGCTTAAAATAGGGTTAGTTTATCCCCACCCCACTTGATCTTTGCTTTCATTATACTCTTGCCTGGATTTTGCTTCTTTAAGTCCTCTCTACTTCAAAGTCTGGTCTTCCTCTTTCAACAACACCACCCTAAAAAATGCCTTTCCCTTTGTTTCCTTGCATTTACACCATCTACCTAACACTTAAGTTCAGAACTTCCAGTCTTTTTGATTCCTCTCCCTGTACATTTGATCAGTAAGCAAACCTCACTGACTCTTCATCTTACCCATCCTTCCATCTGCACTCTACCATTACCAGACCAAATTGCCATCATCTCCTCTTATCTAAATTGTCTGTTTGGCAAACTGCAAAGTGAAACACACTGTAAAAACTAAAACTCACAATGTCATTTCCTGGTGTAAAACTTTAATGGTCCTCCATTGTACCCAGTCCACAGGCAAAACAGCCTACTGTACATTACCAGGGCCTAGTGATTGGCCCCTTACCTCTATCTCCAGGCTCATCTTTCTGCCTTTGTGATTCATATTCAAGGTATAAGCACCCTGAACACACCTCATTTCTCTTGACACCAGGCCTTTGAACATACTATGTTTTTAATTATTATACTTTAAGTTCTGAGATACATGTGCAGAACATGCAGGTTTGTTATACGTGTGCCATGGTGGTTTGCTGCACCCATCAACCCGTCATCTACATTAGGTATTTCTCCTAATGCTATCCCTCCCCTAGCTCCCCACCCCCTGACAGGCCCCGGTGTATGATGTTCCCCTCCCTGCGTCCATGTGAACACATTATTTTAAGAGTATGCATTTCCTGACTAGTTCATGGCAGTTAAGACTCAGTTTAAGGGTCACTTCTTTGGGAAAATCTTTCTCACCTGGCTGGACCATCTCTTGCAGAGATGCACACTCAATTCCTTGCTCATCATCTGCCTTTTCCGTCAGATGGTAAGCTGCATGAGAGCAGGACCATTTGTTTACCTCTATAGTATCCATTCCACATGAAGTGCTCAGTCCATATCAATTACATTGAATTCTAGCCTCTCCACATGCACCTTTATCTTAATTATAGCCTGTACCATTTTACTGAATGTATCACCATGCACTGCCTTCCATTTTTCTGCATTGTAAACCTTTGGAAGCAGGGGTTGGCTTAAAAGCTCATGAAGGCAATGTTCCATATACCTATGGGTGCCTGGGGTTCTATACCTGGTAAGTCTCGATGGGGCGGTTTTCCATGTTGAGATCCCAGACTTTAACGGTCAAATAGTCCCTGGTCATGATATACCTCCCACTGTGGCTGAACTTCACATCCGAAATTGAAGAGATAATTTCAGAGAAAAATGATCTGTTGCTTGGATCTTCCGGCTCTTCAAAAACTGCAGAACAAAAGCAAAACAAGACAAATTAAGCAATCCTTATCAACTGACTCTAACATGTTTGGACTGGCTAGGAAGCTAACAGTGTAACTGAGAGTCTTCCTTAAGTAGGGCTGGTGTCTGCAGAATGTAAGTTGCTAATAGAGAACTGTCATCTCTCTGGTAGCGGAAAAAGCTGTCATTAGTTTCTGGATTTTAATTCTCATGGAAGGACTGGCATGGGACCTGTCCTGTTCATAGATCTGGCACTGACAGATCTATGCATCTAACTCTTTTTCTGTTTCCCTTGGTATCTGGGTGTCACTGCATAAAACCTGGAGTCATCTTAGATACTTAAAAAAATTTTTTTTACAGCTTTTAGTGAGATAAAATCCACATACCACAAACTGTAAAGTGTAGAGTTCAGTGGTTTTCAGTATAATCACAAAATCATCACTGTAATCTAAATTTAGACTATGTTCTTTACCTCCCCGCAAAAACTCCATATGCATTAGCAGTTACTTTCCATTGCCTGCTCCTACAGTCCTAGGTAAACACCAATCTGCTTTCTGATTCTCATTCTGGAAATTTCACACAAATGGATTCATAGAATATATGGTCATTTGGGACTGACCGGCTCATTTTACTTGGCATAAAATTTTTAAGGTTCATCCATGTCGTAGCATGTATCAGTTCTTCGTTCTTCCTATGGCCGAATAGTATTCCATTGTATGAATATACCACATTTTGTTTATCCATTTATCAGTTGATGAGCATTTGAGTTGTTTCCACTTTTTAGCTGCTAGGAATAACAGTGCTATGATTATTCATATACAAGTTTTTGTCTGGCCTTATGTTTTCATCTCTCTGGTTGGCTCATGGTGTTTAACGGTGGGACTTTGGCCAGGTGTGGTAGCTCATGCCTGTATTCAGCACTTTGGGAGGCCTAGGCAGGAAGATCACTTAAACCCAAGATTTCAAGACCAGCCTGGAAAATATAGGAAGACCCCATTGCTATAAACAGTGAGCCAGGCATGGTGGGGCATGCCTGTGGTCCCAGCTACTTGGGTGGATGAGGCAAGAAGGATTGCTTGAACCAAGGAAGCTGCAGTGAGCTACTATTGGGCCACTGCACTCTAGCCTGGGTAACAGATCGAGATCCTGTCTTCACAAAAGAAAGAAAGAAAAAAGGTGGTGCTTTCTTGCTGGACTGCCTTGGGTCTAAGGTCAGCCTGTCATTTACTTGTTGTGTGACCTTAGGCAAGATACTTCTCTGTGCCTTAGGTCTCCTTGTATGTAAACTGTAGCTATGATGTCTTTTTAAAATTAACAATATTTCCAAATTTGTATAAATCTAATGGGTACAAATGTGGTTTCATTACATGGATATATTGCATAGTGGTGAAGTCTTGGCTTCTAGTGTAACCATTAGCCAAATAGTGTACATTGAACCCACAATGTCTTCTGTGTGAATTGTCTATTTGCTCTGATATCCAGCCTCTTATTATCTCTCTCAATAGCTTCAGCTAATTTCCACTTACAGGAAGAAGGCATGGCTTCTCAGTATGTTATCAGAGCCCATCATAAACTGTCTCTAATTCTTCTTTCTACCTCGATTTTAAGTTGGATGTATAGAGTATATCTCCATGTTTCCCACTTCTATTCATTGCCTGATTCCTTCTTCATGGATCCAGATACTCTTTGATTCATATACCTCATCTGCTACATATTATTTCACCCCAAATGATCTTTTCTTTTCTCTGAAGCCCTATCATACTTGGTCTGCCCATTTATTTAGTATTTGCTCAGGTACTCTCTTACAATGAAACTATCATTTTTCACATTATTATTTTAACAATTCATGAGTTTGTTTTATCTCTTCAACTAGGACATAAGCTTCTTGAGAACAGGATTTTGGTCTTATCTTCATACTCAGAGTCTTGCTCACAAATGTTCAATGAATATTTGTTGCTTCACTGGAGCCAAAGCCAGATAAATTAACAGATTCTTTGCCTTCTGGGTGCTTAGCATGTATAGTATTAAGTTGAAACATATGCAGTTGCTGACATTCAATTATTTTTGACCTACAAAGATGGCAATTGTGTATGGTTAAACCCAACAAGAGTTTATATCACAATTTCAGGCTGAAACAAACACTGGCCTGCAGGTTGCTGAGTTAACTCATCCTCCAAGACTACTTCTTTCCTGCCTGGTCAATGCACTGACATAGTCAGTAATGAATTCTGTATAAAGAGCCCAAGCATATAATAAGTTACATTTCAAACCTTGCTGAATTAAACTGTGAACTAAGCCAAAATGTTAATTTTCACAGGACGATTGAAGAGAATAGCAACAAAAACCCTGATCAATCGAATTGAAATTGCAAATTAAGAAAAGAATCATTGAAACAGAAAAACATGGCTCATTACAGCCTCTGACCCAATGTCTTAGTCTGTGCCCTCATCTTTTGGGCTTCAGCTGAGTATTAGTGAAGGCCCCAGGATTCTGATTGGTATCTTCGTAGTTGAGAACTAGATGGGAAGAAAATTTTCACATTAGTTTCAACTAACAGCCATCTCAGTACTGGGGGCTTGGAAATTCCAAGTAAAACACCTGACCCAGAGGCAGTAAAGTGGATGAGCATAGCAAATTGTGCTCTGGAATCATCAATTCCTGCCTCTGTCAGTTACTAGCTGTGATCATTTTATTTAGTACTCCAGCTTTAGTTTTCCCAGCTGCAAAATGAGGAGCCACATTGTTTGGCATATAAGCTTGGTACATAGTACGTCCTCAATACATGCCATCACTATTTTCATTTTCAGTATGCACTGCTTCTGTGCTGGCCAGTCATATCTTATTCATGAAGACTCTTGAGAGTTTGGGACCGAGGAGTACAGAACTTGTGGACTATTTAAAAGACATAAAGAATGTTTACATTTTCTCTTCTTTAAACTCAAATCTATTTTAAAATGTTAAAATCGACAACAAAATTGTATATATTTATGGTGCCTTTTAATGTTATACATAGGAATCTGTTTCCCAAATACTTGGCATGTTGGGAGGCCAGTGTAGCAACGCTGTAAAGCCTCAAAATGACACCTTCACAAGATGGATGTGAAATGAAAGATGACAATTCTTCAATCAACCCACCACTATTTATTTGTGGAGTGCTGGCTTTAGGTAGCACACAGAGGGCAAGGTACAGATAATATACTGGCATAGCACTTTGCAGTTCATGACACATCTATGTATATTCAAGTTTTAATAGCAACTCCAGGAATTATTTTCATTCCATGGGTAATAGCATTTAATAGTATTAATAATTACTGTTGATGGGAAGCTTATAATACTGCAGACCCTGTGCTTTACATGTTTTACTTCATTTAGTTGTTAAAACAGCCTATAAAGTAGGAATTATGATTCCTCATTTTATATATGTGGATAACTAAGGCACAGAGAGGTTTTGTAACTAGTCCAGGGACACACAGAGGTAGAGCTGCATTTTGAACTCAGATCTGTCTGACTTCAAAATCTTTGTTCTTAATCATGATGCCATGTACGAGACCTTGCTGAGCATTCGTTTATAAGTTAAGTGTCTTGTATGCACAGGCACACATACATGCACAATACAGTATATTAGCTAGAGTCCACAAATAAAATACTTTTTATGTGTGGGATGGATATGTGCCAGGCCCTGTACCAAATGCTAAAGACACAATAATGAACAAGACAGATCCAGCACTACTCTCAGTGAGCTCACAGGATAGAGGAGGGGATACATGTTTAGCAATCACACAAATGTGGTTACAGTTGTGAATAAGTGAGATTTTACTGTGTTATCAGAGGGAAATCATGGTGCTATGGAACTGACTAGTGGAAGGTAAATGGAACACCAGTGTGCATTCCATAAAATTTACTTCTCGTGCTCCCTCCAATATCAGACATTTGTTGACCATGTAGTACAACAGTATCTGGTGCCTGAGTGATAGAACTCGAGACAAATCAACACTAGCATTTCTCCCGGAGACCCTTGGCTTGGCATGGCACTAGAGAATCTGCTGACCTGCAAGGTTTCCAATTAGCTATCAGAAAATAGAGACATTGAGAGGAGAGGGAAGAGAACTAAGGGGGAGACAAGAAGAGCTTTGCTCCCTTTGTGAGGAAACAGTCTTGGTGAGAATCCTGATAGCCCAGTCCTAGCCACTGGGGGTATGTCAGGTTCACCAACAGAAGCGTATGTCTTGGAGACCCCAATAGTAACAGTAACAACAATAATGACATTTGCTACCACTTCTTGGTCCTCAAGCTTTGTATACATTATTGCATTTAATGCTCACACTTCTAAGGAAGGTACTATCCTCTTCTCATTTGTAGATAAGGAGACAGACCAGGAGGAAAGGTTCAGTAAGTCACCCAGGATCATGCGGCTAGGCAGTGGCAGAGATGGGCTCTTGACTCTGCCCATCTGTCACACCACCTCCACAACTGGGCCTTGCCTTGCTTTGTCAATATTGTTTCCCTGTTCAAACAAGTCAAACTAGGATTCCTCACATTCTAGATATACCTTGTATATTCCCACTTTTGTGCCTCTGCTGCTCCTCACCTCTTCCTGTGCCCATCCAGGTACACTGGAAAGAACATCAGACTCAGGGATGCTGGGCTGGAATCCAGGCTGGGCACAAGTCCAGGCTGGCTTTTGATAATACCTATTATCTATTGAGCTTTTGTGCTGTGTGCTCTACATGTATTAACTCATTCACTATTCATAGGTATTAGTACTTTCTCTTTTCCACAAATTAGCCTAATCAGTCAACTCAGGCACAACTCACAGCTAGTAGGAACAGAGCCAGAATTTGAACTCAGTATACTTCCAGCTTATGTTCTTAACCTCTGTCCTACTCTCTCATCTGCGTGGCTTTCAGCACTGTCAGCTCTCTGGGCGTTTCCTTCTCCGTAATAGGAAGGAGTTAGGGTTGCCTACTAGGTCCCTCCCAGCTCTTAGATTCTAAAATCTATGAAAT